TAAATCTCCATCACCTGCGTGCTTTCACATTGAGCAGCATTAACTACACAGAGCCGTTGTTCACTGATGAGCAGCGCAAAAAATCGCGCGAATATGAACGTGGTTTAGCGCAGCTCGTCAGTGAACAACGGCTCTGTGTAGTTAATGCTGCTCAATGTGAAAGCACGCAGGTGATGGAGATTTACCGCTGATTACAGACCGGCTTTACTGATAAGATGCGCGTTAAATATCGCATGCGATTAATCGTGCAGCCCTAGTGGGAACTAAACGTCTTTTTCAATTTGAGAATTATATATACAGTCACAAAGAATTGTTTAATACACAGAATCTGTGCCAATGCCATGGACCATAATTACGTCAGCATCATTTGGCCCTTGAGTGTAGTTCGGGCTCCTCCTCATATGTTTGGGCTCCTGTTGTCATGTGTCTTGCACACATCCAGTCTGTTTTTCTTCATTAGTAAGATGCAATTATATCTCTAGCTCCTTTCATTTTTTCTTATCATGTAGACAACAGGTTAAGTAAAAATATTAGTACACAATATAGCGCAAATATTTAGCAAAATGCTCCTTCCTTACTTTTTTCTAGATGACTAATGAGCTTATTAACGCCGGATGGTTATTCTGAAATAAATGTATTGTTACGTGGCATTGTTTACAAGCTTTAAACATTTTCTGCAGTCTGAAACACTGAATGAGTGATTACATGAGACATTTCAGTAAGTTGTAATGTAGGCTCTTATAATATACCTTTTGGTGTCCATTCCTGTTTATTTCATACTATAGTAGTAAAGAGAAAGATATGATGGGTTCAAGTGCCAATTGAACTGAGGCTCATGCCGCTCATGCTACATTAAAGAGTGCCAAAACTGACGGTAATTATTGTTTGAATTTTGTCATAAATTTGGCAGAATTTTAAAGCTGATACTTTGGTTATTAAAAGGTAACAGAGCACAAAGCCTATTGTGTCTATTGGACGACAAGTGCGCTACTAATAATATGAAGTTCACGCATTAACAGAACACAGCATTTAGACTAAAGATCTTGATGACAAGAAGCCATATTAGTATCGATTATAAATGAGAATTCTTAATATCCACACAGCTGACAGCTTTACCTGTTGTAGTTGTTAAAAAAAAAAGTGACGTGACATGTGGCCAAGTATGGTGACCCATACTTGGAATTAGTGCTCTGCATTTAACCCATCCAAAGTGCACAAACACAGCAGTGAACACACACACACCGTGAACACACACCCGGAGCAGTGGGCAGCCATTTATGCTGCGGCGCCCGGGGAGCAGTTGGGGGTTCGGTGCCTTGCTCAAGGGCACCTCAGTCGTGGTATTGAAGGTGGGAGAGAGCGCTGTACATTCACTCCCCCCACCTACGATCCCTGCCGGTACGAGACTCAAACCCGCAACCTTTGGGTTACGAGTCCGACTCTCTAACCATTAGGCCACAACTTCCCCGTTCAAGTTGTGCATGAAATAGACACTGCTTTTCTGCACTTTAACTTCGCATGTCTCCGTCATTTTCGATCTCTGCCACAACTGGAGCTGCTTTTAGCAGGTGTGCCGTCAACGCTGGTGTTCGGCAGAGATGAGGACTGTTTCCACTAAAACTTTGATGCGCATCGTCTCCGTTTATTACGTCAACATAACAAAAGATGTGATCTCAAAACAATCAGGAACAAAAGCATTATATGCAAATTTTTAAGTCATAACATAAATTTATATAGTCGCCAGTGGCGATCTCAGCAAAAATATCACTCGCAAATTAATATTTTTGGTTTTAGTCGCAGTCTGGAGCCCTGGTAGCAATGGTTAAAATTATTAAATTCAATACAATTTCATGTAATCTAACATTACCATTTAAAAGTTTGGGGTCAGTAAGATTTTTTTCTTGGAAAGAAATTAATGCTTTTATTCAGCAAGGATGCAGAGAATTGATCAAAAGTGACAGTAAAGACTTTTATAATGTTACAAAAGATTATACATGCAAATAAATTATTTTCTTTTCAACATTCGGTTGATCAAAGAATCCTGAAAAAAAGTATCATGATTTCCACAAAACTATTAAACAGCACAACTGTTTTCAACATTGATAATAATACTTTTTTTTTTCTTTAGCAGCAAATCATCATATTAGAATAATTTCTGAAGGATCATGTAACACTGAAGACTGAAGTAATGGCTGCTGAAAATTCAGCTTTGCCATCACAGAAATAAATTACATTTTAAAATATATTATTAAAATATAAATCAGTTATTTTCAAATGGTAACAATTTCACATTATTACTGTTTTTACTGTATTTTTAATCAAATAAAAGCAGCCTTGATGAGAACAGGAGACTTCTTTCATAAACATTAAAAACAGTTTACCAATCACAAACTTTTGAACAGTAGTGTATAATATAACCAATGAATATTAGTCTTGTCAATAACAACTATAATAAAAATAATCATAATAATACATGAGTTTAATAAGTAATGTTTATTTTTTTCTCTAAAGTCAAAGTAAGGCATTGAGGTAATCCGAATAAAAAATTTCAAGACTGAGGAACTCAAATGATATTTGCAAAACTCACCACTGAGTAACTCTATCCAGCCCTGTACGGTTTCGGGCGGCTGAGTATCTTTTATGTGTTTCAGAGCCTCATCCAAAAGCACATCTCCCGTTGGAGCATCAGACTTACATATAACCTAAAAAAAAAGACAAGAAAAACGTCACTGAACACATTAAAACGCCCTAATGCACAAAGCACCACTTACATCAAAGCAGTGAAATCAAGAGGATAAAATCATGTGAAGGAGATGAACTGCTTCAACTGAAGACCAAAGAGTTTTACCTCATATATTAAATGTAATGCATTTTCCAGGGATACTTCTGAGCTTGGTTTAATAATAAAAGTTCTCACTTACAACAGCCAACACCAACCACAAAAAGTGGCCTCCTGACACACAATTAATTATTATCAAAGAGCTCCCACTTGTGGGAGAACGAGCCATACACAATTGTAAATGTACTGACACCAAAGTGCTGAATTTTACAAGCACATAAAGAATATATCTTCTGAATTTGTTCTGTCCAGTTATGTGTTTGTAGAAACCTCTACCATCAGTACAGCCAGATTGTGGTCTTACATTACATTTGTTCATACAATGAAAGTAAATGGGATCCACTGCTGTTTGAACTCCAGCATTATTCAGTCTTTTTTATGTTCCAGAGAAGAACAGAGGTTTGGAATGACGTGAGGGTGAGTAAATGATGACAAGTTCATTTTTGGGTGAACTATCCCTTTAAATGCTTGTAGAACTGAGGGAGGGATACAAAACAGGAAGCCTCTCTCTATCAGATGATCATTACCAGAGACTGAACAGTTTGTCTTACCTTCCGAGCAAGCAGGCTTTTCCTCCTCATGCCACAGGCCTCCAGCTGCAGTCTCCCTCGTAAGGCCAGCTCAATGAGCATGCAGCCCCGCAGGCCTGATGAAATGCAGTCATTCCAGAAGGAGGTGTAGCCCTTGCACAAAAACAAAATGAAGAAAGTCAGTATACATGCCCCATCGGAGTTCAGAGCTTCAGTGTAACTAAAACTTCCATCCAAATGTTTTGTGAACAAAGAAAACTGTTCAAACACTGTTTACAGATGACGCAAAATGATAAACACTGCTAATATGGACTCCAGTTGTTTTGTGTAAAGACCAAAAGATCACACAAGGATGTCATTTCAGTAAGCACAAATAAGAAACAAACCCCACCGCCAAAAAAAGTGATCTGTAATGTTTGAATGTGAATGTAAGTTTTGCCATAAATGATAAAAAAATTAAAATAAAAAATTATCTCTCTCCCTCTCTCTCTCTATATATATATATATATATAAGTGCAGTATGAATTGCCCATAAATATGTTATCACACAGCACATATGGGGTAGATGTATTTATACATTAATAATGAAAGTTTGAAATGCCACCTACATAAATTCATATTTATACATGTACATTACATATGTAATAAATTACATTTTAAATAGCATAACAGAATAACAGACAGTTCATCGTAGCTTATTTTATAATTATCTGAAAACATCATTTCAGCTCGTTTATCATAATTTTGTGGCGCTGTAAGATAAAACTGCAGAGGTCAAATTGATGGCTGTTAAAACTGTAGCAAACTTAGCTTGCCCAATTAGTTGAGGTAAAAATGTATTCTACAAACTGGAGAATAAATAGTCATAAATAGGCAAAACAACAATAATGAACAATAATGATAATAATAATAGTTTTGTCACACAATTTGTGTTGGACTAATAAAATTCTGTGTGACTATTGCATTTTGTAATTCAGTAAATTTCTCATTCTGTTATTCCACTTCAGCTTCCTGTGTGGTGTGGCCTGAATTGAATTCAGGAATTAAAATTGTGAATTTTGCCCAACACTCAGGCATAGTTATTAGTGTTCATTTCATTAGCTATTTTCAATTTATTCTTAGTCCCGGGGTAAAATGTCCTTGTTAGTTTTTATCATATTTAGTCAACCTTATCCTATTTAGTTTTAGTCAAGTTTTAGTCGACTAAAAGTCTCAACATTTTAGTCTAGTTTAAGTCTAAGAAAACCTGAAGTATTTTAGTCTAGTTTAAGTCTAAGAAAACCTGACGTATTTTAGTCTAGTTTTAGTCAACGAAAACTCGACATTTTAGCAATAAGATTGTTATTAATTAACCGTACAGCAGTATTAATTTTGGCATTTTTAATTTAGTCTTAGTCTTACTCAAATGTACATTTTAGTTATCATATTTAGACAACCTTGTCCTGTTTTTGTTTATTAAATTAAATGTATGAGCATTTTAGTCAGGTTTTAGTCAATGAAATCTTAGTCACATTTTCGTCATTCTGTATAATGGTTAAACTGATAAAAAATTATTTTTTTTCTCAAAAATGATAATCGTAATGTTTGTTGTCATTTGAGAAATTTACTTTTGAATTTCAGGTATTGCACTTTCTCCAGTAAGCACAAATCAATAGAATGTGGACATAGGCTATACATGGTGTAGCTATTTTACTTCATCTAGTGTACTGATTTATTATAGATTTTATTATATAAATGAATACCAAAGACTTATGCAATCTCTCGGTCTACATTATGAAAACAGCTAAAACCAACGAAAAATATTATAACAGTGAAATTAGTAATTCTACTAATTCCAAATTGCAATAGCCTATTTCTCTATTAATACAACAGCGGTTGAGTAAGTGTATTTATTCAGCGATCACAATCGCAAACAATACAGTCGAGATCTCATGACAGAACACTGAATGACGCTTTCATTTAGATGCTAAACTCCAGTGTGTTTGTCGCTGGTTTCGGATCATGGTTGCCAGATTGCTTAAAATAAGCAAAACACATCTCCTTTTTTTGACGAAAATAAAGTTTTTATCTTTTTGAATACATTTTAGTCTCATCTTATTTTGTCAACGAAATTGCATGTTGATATAGTCTTAGTTATCGTTTATTGACCTTATTATCGTCTGGTCTTAGTCATGGGGAAAAAGCTAGTCAACGAACATTTTTCGTCATAGTCTTCGTTAACGAAATTAACACTAATAGTTATGATGACTTTAGTTTGTGCAGTGTCATGGTTGCAGTGGATGAAGTGAGCAATGGATCTCTCCAGTATTAACAAGGCCTGCTTTGTGAAGGTCCAGTCTCCTGTCCCAGAGGCCACTCCTGGGGAACAACAGGCCTCTTTCAAGGCACTGGTAAAGTAATTCCAAATGGCAATAGCCTATTTCTCTATTAATACAACAGCGGTTGAGTAAGTGTATTTATTCAGCGATCACAATCGCAAACAATATAGTCGCGTTCTCATGGCAGAACACAGACCGTCTGAATGATGCTTTCAATTAGATCGATAAACTCCAGCTTGTTTGTTTTTCATATCATCAGCGGAGGCGCTTCCGCAATGAGGAGCGAGCGCTTGCGCATGGTTGCCAGATTGCTTAAATTAAGCAAAACACCAGCCAGAAAATGTATCCTTGTAACAGCGGAGCTCTGATTCGGGGATTTGAACTCTTGATATCTGGCAACCGCACTCATGAAAGCTCGCCTAGC